TAGGTTGAAGCATAATTATTTAATATTTGGAGAGAAGGATTTTTTAAAAAGTGCTATTTGTAACTGTACCTGCAGATGGAATTGAAAGAGAATGGAATTTTTAAGGTTGTAATTTAACCAGAATTGAATAAACTCTCCTCCTACTATAAATAGGGTGGCAATTATAATTCCACGGGAAGCTTGTATCTTGATACTGATGATGATGATAGCAAACATTTATTGAGCTTTTGATACTTGCCACATACTTTTCTAAGCTCTTGACATGTGTTAACTTATTTGGGCTTCACAAAACCTCTGTGTTGTAGAAATTGTTTTTATCCCTCTTTTACAGCTGAGAAAACTGATGCAGAGAGAGGATAAGGTCACACAACCAGAAAGTGGAAAAGCTGGCATTCATACCCTAGCAGCATTCATATTTGTGGCTATAATCCAAAATAAACAGTCAAGGCTGGGGTGGTTTTATTTTGCCTGGCAAGTAGCCTCCGTAGACTCACATCAGCTGCGGGGGAAAGTCCTGTACTGTGTGTCCTAAGGTCACCATCTCTTCTACCTCTCAGGCCACTACTAGTCCTTTTCACCCTTAATTGTGGACCTTTACAGTACTAACTTTTCAAGTGAAGACAAAACTGTTAACTGGCTGGCCTTCCTTGGACCAAGTAAGGGAGATAGAAATAGCCTTGAGGGCTCCATTTCCTTTTCCTGCACAAGCAAGTGTTTGTTTAAGATGGAAATGATCATATTTATCATGGAAGAGCAGTGCCAAGATTGAAAAGCTGGAAAACATGAGAAGTGTGGCTATAGGGCCAAAGAACATTTTCTAAATAACTCTTTTTGACTGGACTGATTGTTTCTTCTTTCTCTGTCAATCACGTGAGGTATAACATACCCTTTTAGAGTAATAGCTGGTTATCAAGAAGGTTTGCATACCTAGATGTGAGCTTTTAATTGCAGAGGAAAAGTACTGCAGAAGATAAGCAACATATCTTTTTCTCTTTGGTGTTCAACGTGATACTGTATTTTGAATCTCTCCAGTATTTAAAATCTAAAAGGCTCAGGATTTCCCCACCCAGTAAATTCTAGTTCTAGGTGCCCGTGCGTATCACTGAATCATTTGCTTGGATGAATTCCATATATAGGGTCATTAAAATATACAGGCAGCTCTCCACGTTACTTCCTGTGAGTTTGAGTGGCTTTACTAGTGGAAAGAAGAAAAGCAGAAGTGGGGAAGAAACCTCAGGCAGATGCATCCCTGCCCCAGCTAATGGAACACTCATTGGGCAGCTGGCCAGCCACCCAAGGGTGACCCAAACTTAAATGCTTCTCTGTGTCACCCTTAAGGATAAGATAGGTCATTCTTTACCAGCAAAAGATTATTAAATGCTGAAAACATCACAGTTGACAAAACCATGTTGACAAAATTAAGGCCTTAGGGAGGATTGTGCCTGGGGAAAAACAAATAAAATGACATTAAATCTTTATCTGATCTTATATTTTAGAAATACTAAATGAAAGTTCAGAAGACGTTTGCTTTCAAAATAATTCAGATTTATTGGTGTTAATAATCTGTTTAGTAATAGAAAAGAAAAAGAAATTCAAGGTTTAAAAATTGGAAAGCAGGAGGTAAAATTACTACCCTGCAGATGATATGACTGTAGACCTGGAAACCTTAGAGAACTAACTGAAAAACTCCT